CAAAGTCACAGAAATATTCTTTTTGTGCTTATTGAGGTACAGTACAGGGTGATTTTACCTGCATGGATAATTGGACAAAATGGACAATATCTTTATACATGTAATTTGCTAATGGTCATATTTAGACAAATCCTATATCATTCTCTTTTTTTTCTTAACTGCTCGTGGTTATTAAAGAGTAAGCCAACTAGATCAATGTAGTAATTTTGGATTCCTAATATTATGGGCATTCTTAAAATTTTAAAACTTGTTTTTAGCGCTTTTCTCAACGTAAAACTGATTCCGTTAAAAAAACCCACAACAGCAATGACCTTATCTTTCTTTTTCAACGTATTGTGCATACATTTGTGTGAAACTATATATTCTATGCTTTCAAGTACATGAAAAAAGCTAATAAAGTCAAGCAAAATGTTCTTCAGAGACATAGATCTAATAGTAGGCCCACTGGAACATTTTATAAACCGTGAAAAGTTGACCAGAAAATAACAAAATTATCTGATGATCTTCACTTGCACTTGCAATTTTTTTGGACAAATTATAGTCTACCTCATTATCTTTTTTTCCCACATTTTTTCCACTATTCATGACAACTGGCATGTATTGTTTTGAGATATTATAAAGGAAGTAGATAGGCGGACCACGGGGTCTATCTAGCCAAAAGGATAGGTGGACCCCGGGGTCTACCTAACAAAATGCTATGTTTTAGGATGTGAACCCCGGAGTCAGCGTAGTGAAATAAGTAGATCTAGGTTTAACTAAGGATCGGTGGACCCAGGGGTCAACATAGTGAAATCTCGGCACTTATATCACTATATTGTGTTGCAAGTGCCGCAAAACTCTTACTAAAACTAAAATAGTGAAATCAGTAAATCTCATTTTATTTTATAGAGTAGGACTGGCGGAGCCCGTGGTCAACGTAGTGAAATTATTAGTAGATCTAGATTTAATTAAGGATTGCTGGACCCTGGGGTAAACGTAGTGAAATAAGTACATGTAGATCTAGGTTTAATTTTAAGGATTGGTGGACCCTGGAGTCAACGTAGTGAAATAGGTGTAGGTTTAAGGTGGACCCCAGGGTCTACCTAACCAAATACTAGTTAGGTTTTAGAATAGGTGGACCCCGCGGTCACCGTAGTAAAATAAGTAGGTTTAATCAAGGTGTCCCTGGGGTCCACCAATCCTTAACTATTAAACCTCTACGGCTATGATGACTCCGGGGTCCACCAATCCTTTTAAAATTAAACCTACTTATTTTACTACAGTGACCCCGGGGTCCACCAATCTTTAAAGAAACCTACTTAACTTATTTCACTACGGTGACCCTGGGGCCCACCTGTCCTAAAAACTAGTACTTCGCTAGGTAGACCCCAGGCCCCGGGGTCCACCTTAAACCTGCTTATTTATCCCTACCTTGACCCCAGGGTCCACCAATCCTTACTTTTTAAACCAAACCTTTTTTTACTACGGTGACGCCGGAGTTCACA